GAGGAGGGGTGGGGGAGTAGGGGTGGTGGGTGAGGGTAAGCTGGGGCGATTTGGAGGAGGAAAGTTGCGGAGCAGGGGTCCGCAATCAAGGGGTTCGGGGAAGGGCCAATGGCTTCTGGTGAAGCTCAGAAGTTGGGGAGGCGTGGCTGCAGGCAAGCGGCAGACGGGCGGCGGCGTTGCGCACCTGCAGGAGGCCGGCCTCTGCCTCAGCGGCGGACGCATCGCTGTCCAGCAGCAAAGGGGGGCCGTCGTACACCTGTGTGCAGCAACGTTGGCAGGTGCAGGGGTGAGCGTGATTATCGAAGGGTGCATGCATGTTGGTTATGAGCATCTTCAAGTATGTGACTTGTATGTCAGAGCGCGCGAGCGCGCTCGTGTGTGTGTGTTTGTGTGTGTGTGTGTGTGTGTGTGTGTGTGTGTGTGTGTGTGTGTGTGTGTGCATGCGCGCGCGTGAGCACACAAGTTGAGTGCCCGCCATTGAACGTTTGGGTGGGGCAGCGCGTCCAAGGGCAGACCGCCTGGGACACGTCACAGCAGGCGCGGAGCTATGCTGCGTGCTGCAGGTGCCGCGGGCCGCCCGCAGCGCCGCCGCCCCACCGCCGCCTGGCCCTGCACCCCCCACCTCGAAGCGGATGTGCTCGTTGATGACGGCCAGCAGCAGCCACAGCTTGTTGCCATGCAGAAAGTGCATGAGCAGCTCAAAGCTGTAGGCGCACATTCGTACCAGCGGCCGCGCGGCGCGGTCCAGGGCCGCCTTGGCAAAGGGGTGGGTCTCCAGGTGCGACGGCAGCGCGATCCCCTGCAGCTGCGACACCTCGTGCGCGCGCGCCGCCGAGCGGCGCCCGCCGGCATCAGTCATGCGGGCGTGGTGGGCGCGCAGCAGCTCGGCGGCGGCGGGGCCGGCGCCGCGCGCGACGAGGCGGAGGTGCGTGTGGACGAACACAGGGTAGACCACGCGCCGCAGCTCCGGCTGCGTTTGCGGCGAGGGTTCGGGGGTGCAGGCCTTGTGAAACATGCCAAGCACGCCGCCCAGGTGGGTGTGTGCTGCCAGACATGTCCGCGACTGTGGCACCCGCTGGGGAGCACCGCCGCTGCGCGCAGCGAGGTGGCGCATGTTCGCGCCCGCCTTGTGCACGTCAGAGCAGCGCTGGAAGCTGATCGCCGGTGCCCTGCAACACCTTGCACGCGTGAACGCATCGAGCCGCCTATCTCATCATACACACGCCTCCATGCGTATGCTCACCTTGTACAGATCTAGAGATGCGTCCACGAACCGCAGCAGCGCGTCAAAGCTGTCCAAATACGCCTGCGGCGCCGCGTCCGCCGCATAGCTGCCCAGCAGGCCGCGCGCTAGGCCTGCATCGGCCGCGTCGGGCTGCGCCTGCGCGAGTGCGGCGGCTGTCGCGCCGGGGCCGGCATTGGGTGCCGGACCGGCGACGCTGCCCTCCCGCTGGAAGACTTGAAGGGTGTGGTCGAGCCTGGGATCAAGGATGCAAGGGTATGCCAAGGCAAGAGCGGCATGACGTGCGGCGTCGCGGCATCAACTCCCCTCCAGCAAAGCAATGCTGCTGCACCATCGCAGCAGATGCCTTGGTCCGCTGCAGCGAGGAGTGACAGGTCGCCGGGTGCACCGAGCCAAGCATGTGCGCAGTACATTAAACAGGGCGCTCACTTGCGCTTCTTCAAGTACTGCACCACCAGGAGGTCCAGTTCCGAGTCCCGCATCGCGGCTGTGCTGCCCGGTGCCGGCGCAGGGCGCCCGCCCGATGCGACGCTGCTGCTGTGTGTCAACACAGCAGTGCGCCGCGGCGATGGCGCAAGGTCCTGCAATCCACTAAGATCTAGATGAGTCTACTTTTCAAATCCACGATCATTTCGCAACATTCGATGCACCAGAGAAGGGCAGAACGATGAGATCACACACAGTAGATCAAAACCAGCATAACAATCGAAAGAACAAGCTGCGGCGAAGAGCAGGACATGAAATGGTTTGCTGCATCAGGGGCTCTGCTGTGTCTACGGTACCGGTAGAGTGTCGTGCACGCGGTGCCGCCTGCGCTGCAAACATGGCGCCGACCGCACATTTTATGCCGACATGGCGCATACAAGTATGAGCGGGAACCACAGGCCCTACAAGCGATTTCTGTTCCCCTGGTGCAAATTGCTCGCAAACGCACCCAAGCGGTCTCCTGTAAACCCGCAGCGCCCTTACACCAGCCACTCAGGTCACCATGGCCACCAGTGTGGCTTTGGGTGGTCACGCTTGATATTCCACCTGCCTGGCTGTCAGAACAGGCGTGACCCTGCCAAGCTTCCTGTTTCTTGCACAGGCTCGTAGGGCTCCCAGATAGTGCACAGGGCACCCCGTGGGGTTGTCCAACAAAGCAGCGTGGCCAGTGCTTGCTTGTGCCCAAGTGTGGACACGGTGTTCCCACAGGTTTCTGGCCTAGGTGGCGCATAGATTTAAGTCTCTCATGGCTGAAACGCGGCATTCAAGACGGCCAAATTGCAGCAGCAACAGCAGCGGTTTGTTGCCGCGAAGTTGAGACTGCGTTCCTTGGCAGCATGCGTCCTGCCGTGCCCCATGGAACGCACACTCGCCCGCGTGCGACCCGTTTTTGGAGGGGAGGCCGGTGACATAAGCCGGCACAGGGCTGTGGTCCGGTGGGACAGATCAGGCCTTGAGGGGCGTGAGGAGTTGGGATGGGTGCGGGACACGCGTGTCAGTCGGCAGGCACTTTGCATTTCGCCATCCAGCTTTAGTAGCTTGTGGCTAGCACTTGATCAATACGGTGTTTTATAATGTTTAATCCCCGGAACATGCTACGGGGGTTGCTGCACATGTAGGCTGATGATACGATACCGATGCACTCCCCTGTTTGACCGACCACTTGACTGATCTGTCTGCACGAAGGCCTGGATCCCGTCAGATAACAATATGGTGATCATACAGTGATATCTACGCTCCAAGCGAGCCAGCCCTCGGGGAGCGGGGCGATCTGGCCAGCGGGCGGGCTTCCAAACTCCACGTTCCGCTGCAAAGCCTGCACGTATGGCACCAATTATACCAGGTGATTTGAATCCTGCGCGCACCGCATAGCCACGCATGTCAAGCACTTCGCAGAGGTCTGCTGCGCATTGGTGCATGCTGCAGGCCCCCACAATGCAGATGCTGGGTACATACCGGTACTGCACACGCAGGCCCCTTGCGGATGCCCGCACCCGCAACTGCAGCACAAAAGGCTGCAGCCGCTGCGGTGACAGATGCGGCTGCCAGCAGCAGCGGCGGCGGTGGTTGGCAGGCGCCCTATGTAAACGTCTTCCGACTCTGCGGCGTCGAGGTCGCTGGCGCACCTGTGGCGGAAGCCCCCACTGCCACCCCCGCCGCCAAGCCCGGCGCGGACCAGCGGCACGGCGCACCGGAGGGCGGCCCGGCGAAGCTGGGCTACGAGAAGTCGGGCTGCGTGCGCGAGAAGATGGACGCCAAAATCGGCAAGCGCGTGCTGCGCATCACCGGTACCATACCCGCAGGTGCGTGCGTGGTGGGGCAGCGGCATGGTGGAGGAATTCCTCACAAGGGGGCACCTGTACTGCAGCTGCGAAGCCCCCCCCTATTTGAACGCCGGCGCTGCTGACCCCGCGCTGCGCCGCCGCAGTCAACTACATCAAGCTGCCAAAGGCCAAGAACATGTGCCTCACCGGGCGGTTTTGCTACCTGCAGGTGCGCAGCTGCGGCCGCTGCTGTCTCAGACCTTGCACTCTGGGGTACACAAGGTGTTGCCCCTCTCTCGGCGCACACCTTTGGGGGGCGGCTGGCGCAGCGATGTTGGCCTGGATGGACGAGCTGAGGTCTGCAGGACATACAGAGCGCAGCCGGTGACATCGGCATGCTGATGTGCCCGCCCTGTTGCGCGCACCAGGTTAAGCTTGAGCCGCCGCACCTGTTCAGCTTCCACTTTGAGTTTAGCACCGCGGATGGCAATACGGCGCGCGTTTCGATGGGTAACATCCTAAAGGATGCGGCAACAGTTGGCAAGGTGAGTGCAGACATGGCGTGCGCCAGAGCATGCATGCGTCTGTGTTTTGCATGGGCATGTATAGATTTTCTGCATCTGCACATGCAGCTGTATGAGGTGCGAGTCTGCAAGTTTACTCATGTGTGTGTGTGTGTGTGTATAGGTGTGTGTGTGTGTGTGTGTGTGTGTGTGTGTGCGCAAGGGTTTGCCCGCAAACATGCACGTGTGTGCATCTGAGCCTGAATCACGAAGCTGACACCAATCCACACGAACATACCGATTATCCCTGGATGTCCGCCCAGCGCAAGAACGGGACGCTGTCGCTGTCGATGGGCGGCACTGCGGGCCGCTGGACGCTGCTTTGCGTCGACCTGGCGGCGGCGGCGCGTGCTGCGGGCGGCGCCGGCTACGTCGCGCTGCGGTCGTTGCAGCTGTGCGCGACGATGAGCGTGCGGGGTGTGTTCACCTCCGACATCAAGTTTGGCATCAAGGTGGGCATTGGGGACTTGGATCGAGCAAAGCCTGCCGTGTCTTTGGGGTATTTTCAGCCTTCGGCACTGTTTTCAGCGTCAGAACTTTTGCAGGTCAGTATCCAAGCCGGGTATGCCAGACAGCAGCTCTGAGAACGCACCAAATGACAAGGCAGTCGCGGTTGTAATCCTTAGCGCCCGTTGCGCCCTACAACGCTCCCCGCCCCTTCTGCGCCAGTCCCTGCCCCGCGACATGGTGATGTCACACGCACTGGAGGCCTCCGCTTTCGACACGCTGTGGCTGCCGGCGGAGCCCGCAGACTTGAGCGAGGCGCCCGTGCTCGTCACGTGAGAGGGGGCGTGCGGTGTGTGTGTGTGTTTGGGGGGGGGGTGTGATCACCAAGCTTGGGTTAGGCGCGACGCATCGCCAAGTGCTGCAGCTTGGACTATTGCACGGCTGCCGTGCGCGCGCTGAGCGTCGGCCGCCCCTCAACCCCTGCCTTTGTGGCGGGCACGCAGACCGGTCAGGCGCAGCAGCGCGTACGCCGCAGCGATGGGCCTGATGGCGGCGGCGCCGCCGGCGCCGGCGGACGGCAGCCCTTGCAGCGGCGCGGCGGTCGTGCGGGAGCCCTCGTCACGCAGCATACGAGGGGGCAAGCGAGCAGCAGGCACGGGAGCGGCAGCGGCAGCCACAGGCGCGCGGCTGGCTGCCTGCAACCCTGCTGCAGCCGGGGCCGAGCCGTTGAACGGGGCGGCAGCCTGCGCGGCTTGGGAATTGGAGGCAGAAGAGTCCCACAAGGCAAACGAGGCGGAGGTCGAGGGTGTTCCATTCATGCAGTTGGAGCGGGTCATTGGATACACTGGTGGGGACTATTCTTTAGGGGGAGGAAGGTGCATGGGTTCGCTATGGTGCAAAGGGCTTCCGAGCCGCCGCCGCCAGCCGCAACCAGGGCAATGGGCCCAAGCCAGAACTCGAAGCAGCTCGGCTGGTCCGTTAGGGCTGGGCCGGCCGCGACGCCGCCAGGCACAGCGCACCGTTGTCACCAGGAAACGCACCCCCACTGCACCCGCCTGCCGGGCTGCCATCCGCCATTTACTTGCAGGGGAGTTCACGGGCACGCTGCTGTGGTCTCAATCCACCGACGAAATCGTGTTCACGGCCGCATCCCTCATCGTGGCCATGCCCGCGAGCGGCGGTGCCACCACGCCTGGCAGCCCCAGGGCCGGCGCCAGCAGCAGCCCCGGCAAGCGCCGTGCGCGGCGCGGCGACCCCAGCCCAGAGGACGACACGGCGTGGGGCAGCGATTCGGGCGGCTGGGCCGCGGGCACGGACGCGGGCGGCGCGGCGCGGCAGCAGCGGCGGCAGCGGCTATTTGTCGGCCACACGGCTTATGTGGTGTGCCTGGCGCTCGGCGGGGACGGGCGGCTGCTGGCGAGCGGCCAGGAGGGGCGGCAGCCTGTGGTGCGGCTGTGGGACTTTGGGAGCGGCGAGTGCCTCGCCATACTCTGCGGTGAGAGCCCTCTCCCATGTTTCAGCCACACCACTAGTGGCAGCCTGCGAGGCTGCAACTGTTCTCGAACTGCTGTGCGCTGTCGTGCTTGTCAGTGTGCTTGGCCTCTCCAAGTGGCACACGCCATAGGATTCCGGATTCCGATTGACCTGCCCACCTCTACCCCGCCCATATTCCACCCCTCTCAGCCCACTCTGCGCACCTGACTGCGCTCGACATGTCGCCCGACGGGGGGGCGCTGCTGGGGGTGGGGCAGGACGGCCACGCCCGGCAGCTGATGGCACTGTGGGACGTTGGCGGCGTGTCGAGGGACGAACAAGTGGTGCGCTGACATCTGCGGGGCAAGGGGGAGCCAGGGTCTCGCGTTGGGGTCAAGACCCTGGACCCTTTGCACGGCTAATGGGGTCAGCCTGGGCGCTGGCAGCCGGCTCGTGGCGCACGTCCCGGGGGCAACCAGCTGGGTCGGGTGTTTTGTCAAGGCAGGCTGTGCCTCCAGCAATCAGCAGCACTGACTCTCCTCCGACGGCGCACGCGTCTTGCGCCGCGCTTCTGCCAGGCGCCGCTGCTGGCCAAGTGCGTGACAGACTACAATGTCCGCGCCGCCTCCTTCTGCCCCTTTGAGCCGGACGCATTCATGACCGCCGGCCGCGACAGCATACGCTGCTGGCGCCTCGCCAAGGGCGGCCGCGTGCGCGGCATGAGCGTGCGGCGCACCGGCGGCGCGGGGCCGCTCGGCCGCGCGGGCGGTGGCGGGGCGGAGGCGGTGATCGGCGGGACGGCCGCGCCCGGGGCCGCGGCGGGGCCGAATATATTCACGGCCATCGCGTACGAGTGCGGGCCCGCGGCGGCGCAGGTCGCGCGGCGCTACGCTTTTGTTGCGAGCGCGGCGGGTACCGTGTTTCAAGTTGACTACGACAGGTGAGGGTTAGCGTGTGTGATGTGATGTGATGTGATGTGATGTGATGTGATGTGATGTGATGTGATGTGATGTGATGTGATGTGATGTGATGTGATGTGATGTGATGTGATGTGATGTGATGTGATGTGATGTGATGTGATGTGA